ATCCTCCTCCTCTACACTATCCAATCACCTCTGTAGCATGTGACTCTGCCTCTTGCCTGGAAAGTTGATCCTAGCAGTTTCAGAAAAGGGTGGGGCTCCTCTCTAGTTTCCCAGATAGATATAAGGACACGATTCTTGGGCGTTAGCAGGAGGCAAAGCCTGTTGGCCCTGATCAAGTGGAGGTTTGCATGCAGGATCCACAGCACATGGCTTTCAGGGGCAGGTAGCACACACATTTAAGTCATACACAGGTCAGCACCTGGACTCTCCTGATCTGTTCATGGTGTGGTTTAAAGGAAAATGTGACAGGGGGACTTGCCCTCCCTGGAAGGAAGGAGAGCAGGAAGCCCAACAGTGGGAAAGAACAGGAAACAATAGCTGCCTCCATCTAGTGGACCCTGAGCTGCTCCTTCCTCCTTTCTACAGGGCGAGCAGAACCTTCACTCTAACAGTGAGTGTGTGTACGCTGCTACCTGCCTCCTTCCTCACACTTTCTCTCCTTCCCTTTCCCTGTACTTATTGTTTTCAATATAGGCAATTCACACTGAGCTTCATCCCCATACTCTTTTAAGGTTTGTTTTTTTTTCCTGAGACAATGTCTCTGTAAGGTAATCCTTGTCCCTGGCTGGAATGAATTTGTAATCCTCTTGCTTCAGCCTCCTAAGTAGCTGGGAAACAGGTGTGCACCAACACCCTCCACTGGTTCCACTTCCTAATGTAGGCTCAGTGGCTCACAGACTTAAACTCCAAAAGGAAATATCATATAAATAAATGAGTAAATGCTTTTCAATCACACTGATAAATTCCAGGGCAATATGTACTCCTAAGGTGAGTTTCAGAGTGAAGGGAGCCTAGGCATGGGCAGGCTCCCGATTTCTAGCTAATCTGCTTCTCTGACTTCTCCCCTGGGAGGCGGGGAGGCAGGTGCTTTCAGGGGGAGGGAACAACGCCCTTCCAATCTCATCTCAGCGTGTAGATACAAGTCCTTCTGCATTTCCCTGACACCCATAAAGAGCTGGGGATAAGTCTAAATAAGTGATTGAAAGAAGTATAAGGAGGACAAGGTACGTGATTATTAACTTTGAAAAGAGATATTACAAACGTTCCAGATTTTCCTACCTATAACTTCTGGTATTATGAATAGGTCACTGGGGAAAAGGGTGACTAAAGTAAGAAAAATGCCCAAGTATTGAGAAGGAAGGCATGACTCAAGGAGGAAAAGCCAACTTTGGAGACAGAGCAGTGAGTAAACAGGAGGTCAGATGAAGGTGAGGACTGCTGTGTGCTGGTGCTCACTTTGTTTGTGATTCTTAAAGAAAGTAGAACCTCTCCCCCACTCGCAACTGTCATGTATACTTTTCTTTTAACTTTTTGGTACTGGGTGTGAACCAATGTTCTTTGCACTCAGCTATGTCCCTTGCCCTTACACTTTTTATTCTGTAGGTCTAGCTAAATGGCTGAGTTGTCAGGGCTGCGCTGTGATCCTCCTGCCTCAGGCCCTGAACTCTGGGATCACAGGCCGTCATCAATATCCCCACGTGTGGCTTTATTTTTTTTAACCAACTGCTTTGTATCTCTCTTTATGAGGTTTGTCTTTGGTTTGTCTCTGCTAATGTTTATGATTTTATTTCGAACCATTATCTGGCACTGAGTGTTTACAACACGAGCATGCATTATTTATAGATGGGATCTTTGAGAAATGCAATATCCCAGGGCTCAACCAAGAAGCAGTGATCGGAGTCTGCATTTAACAGGACACATGGAGGATGTGCACCTTACAGTCTGGGAAGCACACATGTGCCACAAACATGGAGATAATGTTCTGGGTTTGGTTATGTTTTTATTTATTCTGTGTTGTAACAGCACGTGTATCTTGCATTTTCATTGTGCCTGCATAGTGCTCACAAAGACTGAGGTGAAAATGGCGAGCACCTCTTCCAGAGCTCACAGAATTTTAAGAGATATACTAACATATTTCATTTGTAGAACACTTGTCTTCGGATGTTCATACATTCACATATTTATGTCATAAAAAATTGAAATTAAAGTTATAATTTTGCAATAACATAAATAATCACATGAATATTAAGTGCAATTAAGTGCTTATGTACTTAAATGCAGAGAAGTCACTTTGTTCTTTTTTTTGATTATGAGACTGGGCCTCACTCTGCAGACTAGCTTGGCCTTGGTCTCATGGCGTTCCGCGTGCTGTGGCCTGCTAACTGCTAGGGTTACAGGAATGCACACATATCCCGGGACGTTGTGCATTGTCAGCCTGAGCTTTCAACACTTTCATGAAGCTTAGAACTATGTACACCAATAGGATTGTAGCTTCAGGTAAATTACAGGTCATGACAATGTAGTGAGACCTGCATTTAGCTATAATATTACATTATATGAGTATAAGTTTCATGGCTTTGACACAGTGATCTATTATGACTGATCTGTAAATTCTTTCTTCATTTTTATTTTGGACAATTTTTATTGTTATATTCATTTATGTTTGTAGATAATTTATTTTCAATTTGCAATCTATTTAAATTTTTTTAAAAAACTAAAAAAATCCCTATAATAACACAGTTTATAAGTATATTTATACCAATTAATTCTTTCATTACTCTCTCATAATAAATGTGTGAGACATTAAAAAATAGATATAATATTCAGTAAGTGTTTGGTGTGTGGGTTTCCTGCAGAGCCACAACTTCAATCTCAATCTCTGCCTGTGTCGTCACTCTGTTATTTTCTGGGAGCTTTGCCTCCTCCTTCATGCTTCCTTTTACAGATGTCAAGGACGAAGGACACAGAAGGCATGCCACTACAGTATGGCCTTATTCTAACTAACGGAAACTGCAGTGAGATTACGTCTTACATGGGATCATATTCTGTGTACTGGGGGTTCAGCAAGGTACCCTATCTCCTTATGGTGAAGTATACTTATATACAATTTTTTTTTCTGGAACTGGGGAATAAACTCAGGCCACTGCACTTACCAAGCAAGTGCTTATTCCAGTGAGCCATCTCCACGGCCCCTTTTGTACATAATATTAAAGAAATAAATTTTAATATTTAAAACAACATTGCAGTAAAATTATACCAAATGAAATAAACTGTATTAAAAGTAGTGGGAGTTTTCTTTACTTTGCCCTTAGATTAGAAAAGCACATTTCTGGTGATGCTTTTCTGTGGAGGGAATCAGTAGCTCACAGTCCTGAGTCCTGCTCAAGTGGCTACCAATCTTTTGGCAAAATGCCGCAAGTCAGCTGTGCTTTGTGGAATATGTCCATTCAAAAATTCACCAATGTGCTCCACTTTAATATTCCAACTGAGTAGGAATCAATTTAAACCCCTCTTTTCACCTGACTCCCAAGAAAAAGTAACAACAAGCCGGACCGGAACCCAAGGGGGCGCCACATGTGTGAAAAATAAAAAGAGATATATGCCCACACCACACGCCAAAAAAACACCTCGGGTCTCAGCTGCCAACCGGGCCAAAAAACCCCGAAAAGCAAGAAGCAAGAAGAACCAACCCTGTGCTGCACTCAGTCTCTTGAGGAGCACAGACCACAGTTGTTTCTTAAGGATGTAGCCTGCGAATGCTCAGGTGACCAGAAGTGCCTGTTGCTGTGTCATAAACCAGTGTCCTGTAGGCTGACCAGGCTCCTGCTTGGCCAGTGTGCAGTGTTAACACAGTGAGGACCAGGGAGAAGCAGCCAGAGCTGAGAGAAATGGTCTTTACTGAGCACAGGATCAGGATGGGCTCCAGGGGCACTGCAGCCTGAGAACTGAACACTGAAGTGAAATAAATGCATGTCAGCCATGAGGAAGAAGGACAGAAGCATCGCAGTGGAGTGAAGTCCCTGAAATCTCCAGGAAGCTTTAAAGAGAGTGGGGAGGAGGCCAGGATATGGTGTAGTCTTCCCAAAGATCCCTGCACAAGAAATATAATATAAAACATGTTTTCTATACTTTATATTAATAAAATATAATATTGAACTTCCCACTCCCATAACTGTAAGACGTAGTAATCGGTTGTTTGTGACCAAATCAGGTTATGACATCCTCTTGATGAGCTTCAAAGTAATAAAGCTCACATGGAAGAGCATGGAGAAACACAGAGGAGCTCATAGCAACTAAACCTGAGAGAACAGAGGCATCTTGAAGACATATCCTTGTTTATTTCTAATTTTTGTACTCAGTACAAAGGCCCACGCTGTATTAGCAGATGGACAGAGGAACAACGAAGTTGCTTCAGTCACAAGTGCAGAGAGAAGAATGAGAAAGGGGGGCCAAATGGGGCAGGGGGTCATTGGAATCAGCTCTCAAGACCACGAGGTAGTGTTATTGCTTCCTGTCCCTCTCCAACTGTCCTTCAGAGCTCTGCGGAATGGTCCTCACTAGGGTAACAGGCTGTCTCTGAGTGTCCTAAGCCTCCTTTCTGTGCCTCCCCTTGGAGTAGAGAAGAGAGGTGGCTTTGCAATCCCTGTCTCAGAAGTAGAGAGAACCTGGTGCTGGAAGTCTCTAACCTCACTACATAATCAAAGTCCCAATTAAATCTCCCTGCAGAGCAGATTCTGTGCAGTCCCCACACCAAGAGTCACAGAGGCCTGTTTCCTCTGAGCCCGAGGAGAACAGGGTGGCTCTGACTGACATTGTACAAAGAGCAGAAGTAAGGGAAGGTCACTTGTCCTTAAGGCATGTCAGTGATGCAGGGCTGTGATGCTCTGGACACACGGACTGAGCAGAAGCTTTCAGACCCGCTGGTCTCCGCCTGAGTCCTGTGGACAGTGTGGTCAAACACCCACCTTCTCATCTGTCATCTCCTTGGAAGGACATTGAGCCCTGAAAGGGGCTATGTTGTATTTTCAGATGTGATCAGTTTGAGATATATTAGCAATAAATCATAATTTAAACTAATGGTAAAAGGAATATTTTCTCCTCAGTTCCTCCAGCAAAAGGGATGCTAATAGGAGACATGAGCTTAAGAGTCACCATTGAGGTCAACATGTTCCCAGGCAGTGAAGCAGAATCATTTGACATAGAAAATGCAAAGGAGGTTTTCGTATCACTTCCATAAGGGTGCACATCACTGTGTAATGCTTAGAACCCTTATGCCAGACATTACAGTAGTAGTCAGCCTCATCCTCAGGCTGCGGCGCAGAGATATGCAGAACCCCTGCATTGGTGTAAGAATCTTTAGATCCAGAGAAGCGACTGGGGACTCCAGATCCTAACTCTGTACTTGTATAATAGTACAGGAGAAACCAGGGAGAGCTCCCTGGCTTCTGCTGATACCAGTGTATTCCAAAGTTACCAACACTGTATCCACTGCTCAGGGTGCAGGTCAATGTGGCTGATTCTCCAGGAGATACAGAGAGGGAAGGTAGCTGAGTTAGCACAAGCTGGGCAAAGGAACCTAAAAACAGAGACAAAATCATATGAACAAGAATGGACAAAAAGTGAACTGCTGCTTTTTCAAAGGAGTAGACACAGAGACAGCAGAAGGAAGGTCTGGATCAGTGAGGTCTGTCACTACCTGTGAAGTGAGTGAAGACAAAGAAGAGCACAGAGGCCCAGGCCATGGTGGACGCAGCCCTCCTGATGCTCAGAGCTAAAGTCAGCTACCTCTAGCCTCTTTTATTGCTTGCACCAGCCCCAGGGAGGAGGCATCACTGATGCAAATGGAGTTCTGCCCATTGCCTGCCTTTACAGTTCCCCCATATTTACAAAGCTTCTGAGGCTGGTTAATGAGGGAGTTGGGAGGCATTGGGGGTGGGGAGGAGAGTACAAGGCCAAACCGAGAGAGACACAGCTGCTAAAACTGGGCAGAGCTGCAGTGTTGTCTCCCTGAGGAATATGGGGGATGCACAGCTGCAGGCCTTCCTTGTGCAGATCCTGAGACAGCCCCACAGCACCTCCTGTTGTTCACTATGCGAACTTCTGTCCCTAAGTAGAAGTGGTGTTACATCTGGCATCTGTCAGAATTCCTGGTAAACAGAAGGCTATGGAGACCCTGCTCATGCCACAGCTATTTTACAAGGCTAAGAATTTGTTTTAGTACCTTTGCTATTGAGGATAATGGACAAAGCACATATATGGATATTAGACACAGAACACACAGCAACCATCTAAGTGGGTGGGTGCAATTCAGTGAGGCTCCAGAGGATCCAGGAGCTAAGACCTGAGCGGCCCTTTCCCTAGAGAACATCAAGGAGGAACTGTGATCTGGTTAGACTGTACATTAATATTTTGCTGTGGGACAAAGTAAGAAGATGACATTTCTAGAGAATGCAGGTTTTCAGAAGATGGTGCAGCATGTACAAATATTTCCCCAAATCAAGTAGTATGAAGTACTGGAGCAGGGCTAAATTCCTCATATTCTTTAGTCTCCTATCTCTTGGCTGATTATGTTACCAGACATATTATGTGTCTATGTTTCTGTCCTCACTGGCACAGAAACTATTTCTCCTGGGATCTCAACACTTCAGATGGATAAATCAGTACAGCCGGAGCATAGGAACCTGCAAAGTAAGTATAATTCCTATTGTCCTGCACTCCAGAAAATGAATCATCGCAGTATAGAAAATATCTATGCAAAGCATAACACAGTCCAGCAGTGAGACAGATGCAGAGAGGTTACAGGTGGAAGCCTGGAAGCCACCGCGTGAGGCGGGACAAAGAAAACAGAATCGATGGAAGGAGAAGAGACCAGTTGTCACCACAGACATTTCCACTGAGGAAGCGAGATTAATGTGACTGCTCATGTGACTCTCTTGGACACCCATATGTGTGCCTGCTGCTCTCGTTTGTGTTGACACTCTCAACTGTTTGTCCTTCCTCCTTCCCATCTTTGTGACCCTTGTTTTAATCTCCAGGATGCAACATGTTCCTCCCTGTATGGACATTTTCCTTAAAAGTCTAAAACAAAACTCTTTCTTCTCCATGGGGTAGACCAAGCCCTAAGCTTCTGATCTGAATTGACTTTACCAAATTCACTTAGTGTTGTTTTCTATAGAAATAGCATGTGATATTTTCCACTGTTTTAGTATTCTTATACCCAATAACCTTGTGAAATGAATGTGTCTGTTTCTTATGTAAAGTCTCAGAAGTACACACATGTACGTTACTGTTTGACCGAAAGATTGAGGTCACAGGGGAGTGAATAAAAAGGAGCATAAGGGGGATCATTCATTGATGGGGGGAACTCAGCTTTGATAGTGATTAATTGGGTGCTGATTTTTGTTCTGCTCCAATGCTGACATTGGTTAGTCATTCTGAGTTCCTTGGCAAAATTCTTTCAGTCTTCATGTAGAGTGTTATGCTCTCTGCAAATGCCAGTCACAGACTCATTGAGAAGGAAATTAGAAAAAAAAAAAAAAACCTCTACTAAACACAATAGTATTAAGAAAATAAAACCAAGGAATTGACCTAGACAGGTAAGTGAAAGAATTTTGTTATGAACACGGGAATCTTCTGAGAAACAAGATTGAAGAAGACATCAGATTTTGTAATGATCGCTGCTCCTAGATTAGGCAGAACCAATATTTTCATGGTTTTGGTTTTTTGCAAGGGGAAGAATACAATACAGGACACATTTTACAATACTATATTACATTAAATCACCCAAGAATCATATACAAGGGGTCGGGGAGATAGCTCAGTAGAATAAGCGCTTGCCTGGCAAGTGCAGAGGCGTGAGTTCAATTCCTGATTCCGAAAGAAAAAAAAAAAAAAAAAAAAAAAGGTGCTCCAGGCAGCGCAGGCGCGTGCGCTGCGCGCGGACATTGACTGGTGGCGGTTGCGCGGTTGCGGCGCTGGCACATCGGGCCCAGGATGGAGAGCGGACTGCGAGCTCGGGTGGGTAGAGAGTAGGGGGTGGTGGTCGGGGTGGTGGGAGAAGGAGGCGGCGAATCACTTATAAATGGCTCCCAGGCAGGACCCGAAGCCCAAGTTCCAGGAGGGTGAACGAGTACTGTGCTTTCCCGGCCCTCTTCTTTATGAAGCAAAGTGTGTAAAGGTTGCCATAAAGGAGTAACAAGGAAAATACTTTATACACTACGGTGGTTGGAATAAAAATTGGGATGAGCGGGTTCCAGAAAGCAGAGGGCTCAAGTATGTAGACGCCAATCTGCAGAAACAGCGTGAACTTCAAAAGGCCAATCAGGAGCAATATGCAGAGGGAAAGATGAGAGGGGCTGCTC